TCGGTTTAGTAGATTCCTTTGTTGACTGGAGTGACCACAATTAAAATTGATGGAACAAATTACTTAGCTTGGGCACAATCTATAAGGATTTATGTTTGTAGTAGAGGTAAACTGGGGTATATCATATGCAATAAGAAGAAAGCGGAAGAGACGGATCCCACATATGAAAAATGGATGCAAGAGAACTATACACTAGTTGGATGGTTAGTCAACTTTATACAACCTCACATAAGTCAACATTACCTCTGGATGACTTCAACCAAGGAGATTTGGCATAATGTTACAGAGACATTGTTAAATTGAATATTGCAAGAGCTTATAAGTTAAAGAATGATGTGAATAATTTGAGACAGGGGGAGAAGAGTGTATCTGTTTACTACTCTATGCTGGAATCTTTGTGGCAGGAAATTGATGTAATGGAGACAATTGTATGGGAGAGTACCAAGGATGCAAAGACATTTAGGAAGCTGGTAGAAAGAAATAGGGTTTTTGAGTTTCTCAAGGACTCAACCTTGAGTTTGATGTTACAAGGCAACACATTCTGGCTAGAGATGAAGTAACTCTTGCTCAGGCATTCTCTATGGTGAGCAATGAAGATAGTAGGCGGCAAGTACAGTTACAAGGACCACCTCTAGAACATTATGCACATGCTGGGATAAAGCCAAAGGGGCCAATTGAAAAGAAAGAGGTGATATGTGAATATTGCAAGAAGCCAAAGCATACTGAGGACACTTGTTGGAAGTTACAACCAGATCTTCTTCCAGAGAGGTTTCAGAACAACAACAATTCTAAGAAGAATGGTCAGACTGGGAAGGCTAAGAATGCAAATGTTGCTATGTTACCTGAAGGTGGGAATAGGGAAAGTGAGGAAAAGTCTGCTATGGAGTAGTTGGCAGCAGTGAAAGCAAAATTGAGAGGTACGGGAGATTAATTAATCATTTGGAGACTACTATTGCAGCATCAGACCATATGGCCAACATGTCTAATATTTTATGTTCATATCAGCTCCTTTCTGGCCGAGAAAAGATATCTCTTGCTGATGGGTCTCTTGTTCCCATCTCCAACAAGGGGGATATCAAAACCTCTTGACTCCCTTATTTTATCCTCAGTTCTTCATATTCCTAACCTTAACACCAATATTTCATCTGTTAGTAGTGTGACTAAATTCATGAATTGCAGTATAACATTCTTTCTTAGTCATCATGTTTTTCAGGTCTTGAAATCTTAAAGGACGATTGGGAGTGGTCATGAGGCGAACGAAATATATTTGCTGGGCACACTTGATAGATGTCTTGGACCACCCGGTGGAGTAGCTTTGGAGTCTATTGGTAGAGTCATGTTATGTCATTTATGTTTTGGTCATTTGCCTTTTTCTGCTTTGAGTCATTTGTTTCCAGAAATGTTTAAAGGAGTGTTTTTGTCAAGTCTTCATTGTGAGTTATGTGAACTTGCAACACATTGTAAACATTCTTATTCAATCAACAATAAAAGATTAGTTTCTCCTTTCCATATTGTGCACTTCGATGTGTGGGGGTATACCATTTATTTTCTAGGGGGGTTACAACTTACAAGTATTTGGTTAAATTTTTTCAAAAAAAAAAAACAACTTACAAGTATTTTATTTATTTTTTGAGAAAAAGTTCATTTTCATTAATGACTTATCTCGTTATACTTGGATTTACCTTATGAGATCCTGGGATGAAGTACTACTACCTATTGTGCAGAAGTTTCATGAACTTATCCTTACCTAGTGTAACACCTGGATCAAAATATTTCGATATGATAATGCTAAGGAATATTTTGAGAAGAATCTTTCGTCATACTTTGATGACTTTGGGGTCATTCATTAGAGTTTCTGTTCCTACACTCCACAACAGAATGGAGTGGTGGAAAGCAAGAATTGGCATGTAGTTGAGGTGGCAAGAAGTCTCCTTTTTGCATCTCATGTTCCTGTTAAGTTTTGGGGGGATGCTGTCCTTATAGCTACACATTTGATAAACCGTATGCCGTCCTGAGTTTCAAAACCCCCTTTAGCCTTCTCTTTCCTGATGAGAGCTTTTTTTTCTTCTCCTCCGATTTTTTTGGGTGCACTTGCTACGCCCATGTTCACAGTCACCAGAGACATAAATTTGAGCCTAAAGCACACAAGTGTGTTTTCTTAGGGTATGCCTCCACACAGAACGGATACTGTTGTTTTGATCCAGTCTGTGGCACCCGTCTTGTATCTGGGGATGTCACATTTGCGGAGTCTATTTCTTTCTTTGGCACCTTTTGTGAGGGGGAGCATTCGAATGAATTGCTTGCTATGTCCCCAGTTGTTCCTCTTTCAGTTCCTCTTGAGTCCTCTATTGAGTTGTCTACTTCTGCTGGGTCGTCTTCCATTTAGTCTCCTTCACATGTTCCAGGTACCCCTCCTCCTCCGGCTCATCCTCCCACATTTACTTCTCATCCTGTACTCCAACGGTGGTACCAAAGACGAAGATTAAGGTGTGAGAAAGTTGTTTCCCCTCTTTTAGTTAAGCCTCTTCCACCTCCCGTCACCATTGAGATAACAGGTCAGCCCTCCTCTACCCTTCTGAAACCTTCACAGACCTTGATCTTCCTATTGCGCTTTGTAAAGGCAAAAGGAAGTGTACAACCCATTGCATCTCTAAACACCTATCCTACAACCTTTTTTTCCCAACCTATTATTTCTTTTCTTGCCTTTGTTTGTACACATGCTGTCCCTAGGTTTGTCCCAAAAGCTTTATCTAAACTTGAATGGCGGGATGCTATGATGACTGAGCTAGATGCTTTACATAAGAACCATACTTGAGACATTGTGGACTTGTTTGAGGGGAAGGAACCAATTGGTTGTAAATGGGTATTCACTATCAAGTATCACTCTAATGGCACTAATGCACTATTGAGAGGTTCAAGGCCTGGTTGATTGCTAAAGGTTATACTCAGATGTATGGTGTTGATTACCTAGAGACATTTGCCCCTGTGGCAAAAATGACTTCAGTTCGAGTTCTGTTATCTCTTGCTACTACTTTTGATTGGCCTCTTCACCAATTTTAATGTTAAAAATGCCTTTAAATGGTGATTTACATGAAGAGGTTTATATGTCTTTACCTTAGGGGTGTATGGAAAGGAAATGCAAGGGAAGGTGTGTAAATGTAGAAAGTCGCTTTATGGCCTCAAATAGTCTCCTAGGGCATGGTTTAAGAGATTTCGGGCTTCTCTTGTTGCTTTCAGTTATACACAGACTTAGTCTGATTATACTTTATTTGTTAAGAGGAGAGACTCCTTGGTGACCTATCTAATTGTTTATGTTGATGACATTGTGGTTACTGATAATGGTTCTCAGGAAGTGACTAGTCTCAATAGATTTCTTAATACTGAATTTGAGATCAAAGACTTGGGTGACCTCAAATATTTCCAAGGAATTGAGGTGGCTCGGTCTAAGGATGGTATTTTCATCTCTCAACGCAAGCATGTTCTTGATTTACTTGCAACAACTAGTAAACTTGGTGCTAGACCGACTTCCACTCCTATTGACTTAAATTATAAGCTCTTAACTATTGATGGTGAATTGTTGATTGATCGTGGAGTGTTTCAGAGACTACTTGGGAAGCTGTTATATCTTTGCATGACCCGATCGGATATTTCCTATGTAGTGAGTGTCATTAGCTAGTTCATGCATTCCCCCAGAGATGCACATTTAGCAGCTATAGAGAGGGTTTTGTGTTACTTGAAAGGTACTCCAAGGAAGGGTATCTTGTTTGCTAGGCATGGACACATGAAGTTGGAAGCATACACTGATGCTGATTTCATTGGATGTATTGATGATAGGAGATCTACTTTAGGATACTGTGCTATGGTGGTAGGGAACATTGTTTCGTGGAGAGTAAGAAGCAATTTATAGTGACTAGATCCTTGGCTGAGGTAGAGTACAAGGCAATGGCACACGGAGTTTCAGAACTATTGTGGCTTAGGTCACTTTTGGAAGAATTGGGTATTGATTGTAAGAAAAAAACTAAGGGCAAATCTAGAGGTTGATAGGCATTTTATACGGGAGAGAGTTGCTTTAGGGGAGGTCTGCTTGCAGTAGGCAAATCTAGACTGTAATTAGTCCAATTCTTGATTCAAATTAAAAGAAAAAAAATATTGGAGAAGAAGAAGAAGAAGAAAGGAAGAAGGGAGAGAGAAGAGAAAGATGAGAGAAAAGAGAAAGATGAGAAAAAAGAGTGATAGGCCTTAGCTGCCGCCCCACTCATCTATTTATAATAACATCAAAAAATAAGATGGCAATTACATTAAAGCCCCTATTGCTTACATAAGCAAATAACTAATAAACTAACATTGCTAACAACATCCTAACAACAAATATAAAGTAAACTAACTAATAGCAGTAGTGGGGACCACAATAAATAAAATAACAGCAATATAACAACATTAATTATTGCTCTACATCTCTACACTTGCCATTTGTTGTTTCCGAAGAACAGCTAGCTGGATGTTTTGACAAAAGTGTTCCAAAAGGGAAGCCGATACATTATATAAGCAAGGTAGGCATGATTGATATCTATGCTCAGCTTGAGGGGGAGTGTAGAGAGATTGGGCCGAATGGGCCCTAGTGCTTGTTCTCTTGTTAAGTAGTGTTCTTTTTATTACTTATGTGTTAATGGGCCTGCTAGCTTCTTTTTATTTTTCTTTTAAGTTATTGATGAGCTGGCCGCCCACTTAAGGGCAGGCTTGTAATGAACCTTGATTAAGTCTGATTAATAACAGATTAGTGAGAGGAGAGAGAGAGAACTATCAAACTCTCTTCTTCTTCTTCTCAACTTCCTTCTTCCTCCTACTGTTTTTCCCCTTTTTTTCTTTTCTTTTTGTTGCTGTTATCAGAAACTAATCTCAGATTTGGAGGACTGAATCACATCTAATTGTTTCTGCAAATAGCTATTTCATAAACACATCTTGTGCACATACAAATGATAATTCCTTTCTTTAAATAACAGAAATTGATAATGCAAGGGATGGAGCAATTGAAAAATCAACTGCAGCCATGGATTAATCAAGCAGAGGAAATTATTCATCAGATTCCAGCTGCTCAACTATATGTTGCTGTGGGTGTTCTGTTTCTGACAACTACTTTGCTCTTCTTGGGTAGGCAGTTCCTCCTTATTTTACTGCAACACATTGCTTTTTTTCATTTTTCTGACAAGTAAGTTGAATTTTATTAGGAGAAATCAAAATATATGACATTACAAGCATTCCAAGGAGAGGTATTAGGTACACCTTCGTAACATAAAGCAACAATAAAACAACTTACAATTGAGCGCAATAAAGATGATCCCTATCAACCCTTTGCTTGGCTGATGTATCAGCCACCTCATTTACCATTCTTCTCACCCATTGAATTACCTAAGGCTGCAACTTGGGCCAGGTTGGCCCGAACCCAACCTGAAAAAGTCGGGTTGGATTGATGCTCGGGTTAGGGTTGAAATTTATGAACCCGACTTTACTTCGGGTTGGGTTAGGGTTGACCCCTCGGGCAACCCGAACCCGACTCTATAGTACATATCATCTATAAATATATGTTATATATAATATATCATACATTGATTTGTTTAGATGCATGATAGTTGTATAGTCCCTACCACATACTATCATTTATTTCTTTTAAGATAATCACTTCACTTAATCCTAATTGGAAATACTAAAACTTTAATAACATATTTTATGTTTTTTGAATATTTTATTCTTTATTTCCTCTCTATTGCTTGCCACCCATAGCTTGCAACCTATAAAAGATTTATTATAAGTCATAACTCATAATAAACTATAGTCATTTCAAACACTTTTTTTTTTCCTGAATTTTGTACTTAGAGAACCAATAAAAATATCAACAAACAAATACTAATAAAACATAGGATTAATATATGTAGTGAAAGTTGAGTTTAGATATTAGATTTAGAAGTTCTACAAGATTTAAAGGGATGGGAAGAAGGTTGGGTTGGGCTCAACCCGAGCCTAGCCCAACCCAAAGTTGACTTCGGGTTGGGTCGGGTTAGGGTTGGAGGTATTACTATTTAGTTAGGGTTAGGGTTAGGGTCGGGTTGGGGGTTTAGAACTTAGGGTTGGCCTCAACCCGACCTAACCCGGCCCGACTTGCAGCCCTAGAATTACCAAGGGCATATTGTTAGTTAGCCACTTAAAACTATTTTACTTATCCTTGAACTCTTAAATAACAGTCTCTGGCTTCTTTAGCCATCCCACCACTAGCTTGGAGTCTTGCTCAACAACCAGCTTGCTCAAATTCATCTCTTTAGCTATCTGCACCCCTCGAGTTACTGCTAGAAAAATTATAAATAGACAACATGAAATATTTAGTCACACATGGGAGGTAAATGGCATGACCCTCACACATCAGAGTTCACAATATTAAAAGGAAACTGAGATATTTTATTACGCATTGAAGTTTATCCTCCAAATTTTGAAATTGGGATGCTCTTTTGGTTATATGAGCCTTGAGGTTGAGGGAGATTCACATCATTGTTGAGTGGATAAAAGCTTAGTGATGGGTCCTTGGCAGAATTATCATCAAATAAGAGAAGCAAGATCCTTGGTTAGGAACTTGCAGACCTCATTTTCTTGGGTTTTAGTGTCTGCAAATTCCCTATTTGACTCCCTTGCCAAAGGTACAAACAAACAGGAGTTGCATTGGTACCGTATTCCCCATGGTAATCACTTGTTGCATGGAGTCAAACTAAAAATGAGTTCGGGGTTAGCAGCAAAAGGGGCTGGCTCTTCATTTTTTTCTGTTTTATTTTCTTACATGGGATAGGTAAAAGCCTATATAACACATTGTGTTTCTATTTAATAAAACTCTGATTCAAGGTTTAAAAAATCGCAACGTATCGGCCGATACATATCATTCCAGCAACATCCCGATACATAGAACACTACAAATCCAGTAGTTTCGTTCCTTTTCGTTTGTATTGGATCGATATGGACCCGTATCGGGTCTGTATCGACCGATACAGACCAATATTTTGAATGTATTGGCCGATACATATTGATACAGACCAATATTTTGAATGTATTGGCTGATACATATTGTAATATTAGATTCAGGAAGTGGGGTGAGATTGCTAACTGTTCCCAGACCAAGACAGTGATGGGTGTGTCTTGGACCCCCCTTCCTGCAGGTTTCATAAAACTAAACTTTGATGGGATTTGCAGAGGGGATTCTGGACAATCAGGGATTGGGGGCGTTTTTTGGGACGAGAATGGGGTTGTTCTAGCCATGTTTTCAGGCCCCATTGGAGTGGGTGGCTCTCTCAGAGCCGAGATCCATGCAGTTATGGAAGGAATACAGAAAGCTAGGGAGATGAATATCAACAAACTCATAATTGATGGGGATTCGGAGGTGGTCATAGGATGGCTAAATAACGACAACAGTGGTTTATGGCATTACAGTAATGAGAGGAGGAGATTTAGATGGCTGGTTCGAGGAATGGAAGTTAAAATCATTTGGGTAAAAAGATCAGCTAATTCCTTTGCTGATGGGTTAGCTAAACAAGGGGTGGAGAGGGAATCAATGTTTTGGGCACAACTGTAAATTTATTTCTTTCTCTTTCTTCTCTTTTTTCCTTTCTTGGGGCTCAACTGCATTTGGAAGATAATAAAGTTTGTCTTCCTCTTTGTAATTTTTATTAAGATTATATAATGAATTGTGTTATTGATAAAAAAATTTAGATTCTCTCTCTCTCTCATAAATAAGCCTATTTAATAATTCTTTGTCTTTCTAATAACTCCTACATTTAAGGAAACTTGCCCTAAAAACTCTTAATCTCTTATAATTATTACCTCTCTCTTAATAACTCCTCTCTTAATTAATAATTAATTACTACATTTATGACATTATTCAAATTCAAATTTTAATTTGACCCGCCATTAAAGCAATAAATTCGAAGTTGACTTGCCATTTGTTGAGAATGTGTATTTGGCTTTAGGGGTATTGTTGTCTTTTCCTTTTTTTGTATTTGGGCGCCCTTCTAGGGACATGGATGTAATTTCAGATTTATCATATAATAGATATTCTGGGTGTGAACAGTAACACCCAAGTTCTCTCCCGTAACTCTTCTTCTTTCTTCCTCTTCCTACATTCGACAACTTGGTATCAGAGTGGGAAGAAGCCTCGGACTAGATCCTCTGCCAACTCCCGAACTCATGAAGACCTGCTGACGTCAGACCGCCGCCGGATGATGTCAACAGTCCGTACAGGAACCGGCGACAACCCTTGAATCTGATGTACTCTGGTTCGCCCTGATTTTAGGGTTATTGTGGTATGGTTCTTATCTTTCATCTGATGTGTCTGATTTTTCCCGGATTTTACAATAAAAAAATTACAGAAAAATACTGGTTCGATGTTGGACTTTTTCTTCCTTGTTTGAGTTCGATGCATGCTTGAAACTTATTGGTTTTGGTTTATTTGGCATTGCTAAAGGTATGGGAAGTGGTTACACATCCTTGTAACCTCTGATCTTTCTATGGGGGTCTTTTTTCTTCCCAATATTGCCGCTAGTTCAGTTTTGGGCCTCCCATTGGATTCCAACCGAGCGTTTCCCATCTTTTGTGGGTCTTGTGCGTGTCGGTTGGTGGTTGTAATGCTGTAGAACTGTTAAAAGGCCTACCCAACTCAAATGGGTGTGCCTAAGGAGTTACTAACCTCTTCTGGAGTGCTGCCGGGAAATGTCGATGTCTCCAGTGGTATGATAACCACTGTAAAACTTGATGGAACCAACTTCCTTGAGTGGTCTCAATCAACCAAGCTTACCATCGGAGGTAGGGGTAAGCTGCGATTTATTACTGGTAGGGAGGAGAAGCCAAAAGTTGATGACCCCAAACTTGCTAGATGGGAACAGGATAATTCCTTGGTTATGTCATGGCTGGTGTGTTCAATGCAGCCACATATTGCCCACAATTGTATGTTCCTCTCCACTGCCAAGGATATTTGGGATCGTGTTACAGCCACGTACTCTCAAGCAAAAAATACAGCCCGAGTCTATCAACTCTGAAGAGAAGCCTGTAATATATGTCAGGGGGAGAGGATTGTAGCCATGTACTTCTCATCTTTGCAGTCTCTATGGGAAGAAATAGATCATTTGGAGAACTTGCAATGGAAGAACCTTGGGGACGGTGAATAGTATTGGAAGTATGTTGAGAAGAATCGAGTGTTTGACTTCTTGGCTAGATTGAATGGTGAGTATGATTTTACCCGACAACACATCTTGAGTGCAAATATTATTTCCCTTGCTACTGCATTCTCCTTAGTGCAGGGAGAGGAGAGTAGAAGGTTTGCTATGATGTAGACCTTAGTGATGGATCATTTTGCCTACATGTCTTCAATGTCCAAGTCGAGTACAAACAAATAGGGTGCTAATGAAAAGCATGAAGATGTGGTATGTGATTACTACAAAAGGCCGAGACATACGAACGATAGGTGTTGGAAATTGAATCCACATTTAAAGCCTGACAAGTTTAAAACCGCAACGAAGGGTAATGCTCATCTTGCTACTGTTGGAGCTGATTGCCCTCCTAATGTACAGGCTCCCACACATGGTTCCTCTGATGTGATGGAGAAACTCAGGATTCTGTTGATTAAGCTTGAGAAGTCTGGGCTCTCTACCTCTACTAGTTCCAGTAATCCTTCTAGTGCTTTTGCAAAATCAAGTACTGCACTTACTTGTCAATCTTCTCCTACTAGCTCCTGGATTGTGGACTCTGGAGCTAGTGCACATATGACTGGTACGTCTTCCCACTTCACCTCTTATAAGTTGACTCAAGGGGAAGGAAAAATCACTGTAGCTGATGGATCTCAGACCCCTATCTCTGATTTGGGGGAGGTTAAGCTTACTCGTGATCTTTCCCTGAGCTCTGTCCTTCATGTCCCCCACTTGTACAAGAATATTTTATCTGTTAGCACTCTTACCAAATCTCATAACTGTTCAGTGACCTTTTTCCCTTCTCATTGTGTTTTTCAGGACCTGAGAACAGGGAGGACGATTGGAATTGGACATGAAGCTGATGGAGTTTACCTTTTTGATCAAACCTCTGAGCAAGGATTACTATGCCAGATTGAGTCATGTCATGATGAAAATTTGAGTTTTTTGAAGTTGTGGCATTGTCGCCTCGGTCATGTGTCTTTTAAGTCCATTAAATTTTTGTTTCCAAACTTATGTCAGTCTAAGTCTAGTTTGGGTATGCAATGTGATGTTTGTCATCTCTCAAAACAATGTAGAACTATATATCCTGCAAGTAATAGAAGGAGTGATGTTGCTTTCAACTTGATACACACTGATGTTTGGGGCCCATACTCTATTCCATGTATGGGCGGCTATAAATATTTTATATTGTTCATTGATGATTACTCCAAGATGGTTGAAACACAATTTGAAAGGCAAATAAAGATAATACAGTCTGACAATGCTAAGGAGTATTTTGAAAAGCATCTGCGATTATTCCTTGAAGGAAAGGGAGCAATTCATCAAAGTTCATGCTCTTATACTCCGTAACAGAATGGTGTAGCAGAGAGAAAAGACAGATATGTTGTTGAGGTGGCAAGAGGCCTTCTCTTCCAGATGAATGTACCAACTCGATTCTGGGGAGATGCAATTGAAGCAGCAGTGTATCTCATTAATAGACTTCTTTCACGATTGCTTTCTCTTCAATCACCTCATCAACTTTTGTTTCCTAAGGATCCTATTTTCAGTTTGTCTCTCAGAGTCTTTGGTTGTAGCTGCTTTGTTCATGACATGAGTCCTTCTCGCCTGAAACTTGACTCTAAATCTGTCAAATGCATATTTTGGGGCTACTCTCCAGTCCAAAACGGGTACAAGTGTTTTGATCCCCATACTGGCCGAAGGTACATATCTAAGGATGTTACATTCCTTGAGTCTACTCCATATTTTCAGTCCACTCGTCCTTCTCTTCAGGGGGAGAGTGTTTGTGAAGATCTGACTCCTTTTTGTTTTCCTGTTCCTACCTCTATGGACAGTCCTAATTTGTCTTCCCCTTGTAGTAACAGTATTCATGTTCCTCCTCCTCTCCAACGATCCTGGCAACAGTGGTTTATAAGGCGTAAAAGGAAGGATACTCTTGAGGCTGAATGTCCACAACAATCGAACCGCCCGATCCATGCAACTTTGAAAGCAACCCTGAACTTCCTTCTATTATTATTGATCTTGATGTCTCACAATATGACCTTGACCTTCCCATTGCAGTTAGAAAAGGAAAAAGGAAATGCATTGCCTATTCCATCACTAACTATGTTTCTTATGATGCTCTTTCACCCTCCTATCATGCCTATGTTACTACTATCTCCTCTGTCTCTGTTCCTCGTAATGTTTCAGATACAGTTCGGTCATCTTAGTGGAAGGATGCTATGAACCAAGAGATAGAGAGGCTCTCTTAAAAAACCATACCTGGGAGCTTGTTCCTCTTTCTGAAGGCAAAGTTCCAGTGGGTTGCAAGTGGGTATATACCATTAAACATCAGGCTGATGGATCAATTGAATGATACAAAACTAGGTTGGTGGCAAAAGGATACACCCAAACATATGGGATTGACTATCAAGAGACCTTTGCTCCTGTAGCCAAAATGAACTCTATCCGAGTTATTATGTTTCTTGCTGCTCATTATTCATGGCCTCTATATCAGATGGATGTGAAGAATGCCTTCCCAAATGGAGATCTTCAGGAGGAGGTATACAAGGATTTACCACCAGGGGTAATCTTACCCAACAATGAGGGGAAGGTTTGTGGTTTAAGAAAAATCTCTTTATGGGCTTAAACAATCCCCTAGAGCTTGGTTTGATAGATTCGGAAAGGCTATTCTCAAAATTGGGTTTACACAATCACAAGCGGACCATACTTTGTTTATACGAAGGGTTAATGACCTACTCACCTTGTTGATAGTGTATGTGGATGATATTGTTGTCACTGGAGATGATCACTCTGGGATAAACCAACTAAAGTCATTCCTTGCTTCTGAGTTTGAAATAAAAAATCATGGGAATCTCAGATACTTTCTTAGAATCGAAGTGGCAAGGTCAAAGGGAGGGATATTCATTTCACAGAGGAAGTATGTCCTTGATCTCCTTCATGAGGTTGGGAAACTAGGGTGTAAGCCAGTTGAAACTCCTATTGACTCCAATCATAATTTGAGCACTGATGATGGAGATATTATTCCAGACAAGGGTGTCTACAAGAGGCTTGTTGGTCGGCTTCTTTACCTGTGTCTGACTCGACTTGGTATATCCTATGCTGTTAGCATGGTGAATCAGTATATGCACAGTCCTAGAACTTCACATATGCAGGCTGTCAACAGGATTCTCGCCTACCTAAAGGGGTGTCCAAGTAAAGGAATGCTATACTCTAACCAGGGACATCTCAAGGTTGAGGCTTATACTGATGCTGATTGGGCAGGTTCTATAGATGGAAGAAGATCCACCTCCGGTTACTGCACCTTGGTAGGAGGTAATGTTGTGTCTCGGAAAAAGCAAAAAACAATCTGTTGTTGCCCGATCTAGTGCTGAAGCTGAATACAGAGCTATGGCTCATGGTGTATCGGAGTTGCTATGGTTGAAGTCTTTGTTATCAGAAATTGGGATCCAAGCTGAAACCCCAATGATGCTACACTGTGATAATCAAGCTGCCATAAACATTGCTCATAACCCTGTTCAACATGACCGCACAAAGCATATTGAAGTTGACAGACACTTCATTAGAGAAAAGATAGCTAATGGAGAGATATGTGTGCCTTTTGTTAGGTCAGAGAACCAACTTGATGATTGCCTCACTAAGGGTCTCAACAAGCCAAAACTTGATAGAAACTTGAGCAAGATGGGCATGATAGATATCTATGCTCATCTTGAGGGGGAGTGTTGAGAATGTGTATTTGGGTTTAGGGGTATTGTTGTCTTTTCCTTTTTTTTGTATTTGGGCGCCCTTATAGGGATATGGATGTAATTTCAGATTTATCATATAATAGATATTCTGGGTGTGAATAGTAACACCCAAGTTCTCTCCCGTAACTCTTCTTCCTCTTCTCTTCTTCTTCTTCTTCCTTTTCTTCTTCTTCTTCTTTTTCTTTCTTCCTTCCCTCTTCCTACACTTGACAACTCCATTAAACCAACATATTTAAAACTACAAATAAGAAAGGTAAGGAGAATTGAACCATAGTAATTTGGTTGTAATAAACATAAACAAACCACTACACTATATTCAATTGTTGATTATAATTGTATGTATTATTATTCTTAAGCAAATATTTTTTTTTCATAATGGATGGTCATTAATTAATGTTAAAATTGATTATTAAAATTTATATACTAATAAACATTAATATAAATTATATTAATTTTCTGAAAATTAATACACATTTTACTCCTTCCATTACCTTCAATGATTACCAATTTGTCTCTATATCTCACATTTTATATAAACTATTGAGGTATGGGTTTGTATGTTTAAATAACTTGTTTTCTTTACAAGTGTTTAAATAACTTATTTAAGGTTATATAAAATTTATATTTATTGTTATTAATGTATTTTTTTAAGATTTATATAAGTTTCCTAACGTATCCATGCGTATCTTGATTTTTCATATGTGTCCATGCGTATCCAAAGCATATCCCGAAACGTCTCTTAGAATTGTCTTTCTGATACACCTTACGTTTCTGATACTTTGAACCTTGCTCTGATTAGTTGACCATAAAAAGATTGACTTTTTAATATGGATTCCCATGGGATGTATGTTTAGATGATTCTTAGAAATGGGATGAGGACAGTGATATTGTCTATTAGTAGCTCTATGCCATGTAAAGCTCTCTTTGGGATATTTTAAGAGAATGCCAAGAAAGAAAGTAAAGAAAGAAAGAAAAACCTGATGCCCAGGATCTTTAGCTTAAAATTTGCTTCCAGAAAGGGAATGATTTGCTTGTAAAATCTCTTATATATTAATTCAGTAAATAACATTTCATGCAAGAGATAAGTGCTATTAGTTCTTGAAAATGATTAAATTCTATCTGCTCTTCTTTTAAAAGTTTTGTACTTGGTTTTCTAGTAAATCATTACTTTGTAAGTTCATATTTTAAAAGGAAATATATCCAGATATTTATCTTGGCTGCACTGTTTTATTGCAGTTAGCTTGCTCAGACGTACAAAATCTAATACTATTGTCCTTGCTGGGTTAAGTGGTAGCGGGAAGACTGTTCTTTTCTACCAGGTAGGCTTTCTACCTAATGTTTGTCCTTTGAAGGGTTTGTTTGCCTATTCATACATGTCTCTGAATGTATCTCTCTGTTTGTGATGTATAGCTGTGTATTTTGCCATATGAAATCTGGATACAAGGTGAATCACCTTGTGATTGACATGGTGGTTTGTCCTAGCTAAAATGATGGTTTCTCCATTTTTATGCCAGCTTCGAGACGACTCTTCACATCAAGGCACTGTTACATCTATGGAACCAAATGAGGGCACTTTCATACTACATTCTGAGTCCACCAAGGTAAGACAATATGGTTAAGTATGGTTTGTTAAACCTACCTTTTGTCTAACGTAGAAAACAAATTTCATTTTGATACTTCCATTGCTATGTATTTTTCATAAAAAATTTTCTCCAAATTGCTATGACCCAAAATGCATCTCTTTGGTTTTCAAAAGAGGAAACCTACCGCGACCATCAGGTAGACCTACCAGAAGATAAAGGCCACATTTTGTATTTGCTATGTACCGTGCTACTATATGGGTCCATCTAGACACAGCTATCCATTTACATACTTTCGTGATTAAATTTTCACACTTTCTGGTTGTTGTACAAGAGAACACTTCCGAGATGGCATTTTGCATCGACTCAATCTTATTATTGTTTTTTAGCTTTCTGAGAGGAATCTCCATGATGTAATGTATTTTTCAATCCTATATGTGCCTGGTGCAGATTCCACTGTTAGACCATTGGGGTTTTCCTCATTTCCTCTGTAGTTGATTTTTTTATAAGCATTTGATTGCTGACTACATCTTATGTTCACCCATTATAGTAAACAAATTCTTTTCCATTTTTCTTGACAATAAAAAAAAGAAAATTTATTCATCATAAAACAAAAAGATTACAAATCATATGCTATAAGTGGTGAGATATTACCCAAAAAAGAGAAAAGAAACATACAAAAAGCATCATCAGTTCCCCCCTATTCAAAGTTCAATACGTTCCAAAACCTAGAGCCAAACGACTCTTTGCTTTTTCAATTACCAAAAAATAAAAAAGACTCTTTGCTGTCCCCCTTGAATTCTGGAAGAATCAGAACCCATTCCATAATCTTATTGCAGATTCCAAAAGCAAGTTGGTCATGAGTTTTGTACTTGTCTTAAAAAATTCTTCTATTTCTTTCTTACCACAATTCTCAACAGAGTGCAAAAGGCACCCAACACCATATGATCTTTACTTTTCTATTTCCATTCAAAGCTGGTCAACAAACAATGATTTAATTCAAAGATTTTGGGTTGCACATATCCATTTTGAATACTGAGTAAAAACCCCAAATAATCTTTGCATGGCAACAGCCAAAACAGAGACACTCTTATCTTCTAGAAGACAAAGATAACATCTTCCTGCCAATTGAATGCCTCTACTCTTGATATGGTCTTATATAAGAATGCTGTCCAATGCAAATGCAACAAGCCAAGCAAATGTTTCCACCCTAGGAGGGATAGGATTACCCCAGACGCCTTTCACAAATTCCCTTTCAACTTGATTCCTTGCCAAAGCATCGTAGAACGATGTCGCAGTGAAAACTCCCTTCCACCATCTTGAATCAGCTATTTCCAAATTTAATTCCCCCACATGAAACTTAGCTAAAAGATTAAACATTCCTCAATTTCCCAATCAAAGAGAGGTCTTCTAAACTTCAGGAATCAAACAACTGCATTTTGAATGATTTCATAAAATTGAGCAATTGAAACATTTCTTCTACTTAATCTATACATCCTTGGGCAAAGTTCATATAATTTCCCAATCCCCAATCAATCATCCTCCCATAACCTAATGTGTTATCCATTCCCAACATCAAAGGAAACAAAATTCAAAACAAGCTGAGTGAAAGTTCATTATGCCCTTCCATACACAAACTCTATATGATGATTTAACCTCATTCGAATCCCATTCCCTCACAAACCTCCATAGCAACTTCCCCACGAGTGCTTTATTGAATACCCTCACCCTCCCAATTCCATGGTCCCCATCCTTCTTGTCCTTGCAAACCTTTTCCTACCACACCGGAGCATAGTTGACGTTGAATCTAAAGGATCTACTGCTGGATAGATACCTTTGGCAGCTAATCCTCTTKATAGTACGGTAGTAGCATCTAAATGTGCAAATGTCGTGGCAGGAGCAGGGTCAGTCAAATCGTCCGCAGGTACATAAACTGCTTGAATAGAAGTTATGGACCCCTCTTTGGTCGAAGTAATTCTTTCTTGCAAAGAACCCATTTCTGTACTAAGGGTAGGTTGATAACCCACGGCAGAAGGCATTCTGCCTAATAGGGCAGATACTTCCGATCCCGCTTGGACGAAACGGAAGATATTGTCGATAAATAGAAGTACGTCTTGTTCATTAACATTTTCTTGTCCCTAGCATTCTAGAGAAACTTCCTCTTGTGGGCTCAGTGTTTGGAAAGGGATATTGTGGTTCAATCAAGAATTTAAAGCTGCAGTCAGGTCCAAGTTGGGGGATGGGTCAAGGATAGGATTTTGGCAGGATGAGTGGTGTGATGTGGGGAGGTTAAGTGAGGTATGCCCAAAGCTGTACAGGTTGACTGAGCATCACATAGCAGTTAACAAGTGTTTCGGAATGAGGGGAGATCAGATTGTTTGGTGCCCCAAATTCAGAAGACCATTGCTGGATCAGGAATTGGAAGAATGCATTCAGCTATTGGAAAAACTACAGGAGGTTGAGGTTTCACCCTGCTTGAGAAATGGACTGTGGTGGAAAGAGTGCAGGAATGGGTATTCACTGTGAAGTCATTCTACTTGGCGATGGTGAAGAAGCAGCTGGTTTCAGATCAGGTAGGGGGAGTTTGGGGGAACCCTGTTCCACCTAGAGTGGAAGCTTTTGCTTGGTTGGTGGCATTGGATAGTGTTCTAACAGTTGATCACCTAAAAAGTAGGGGCTTCTCCTTAGCAAGCGTTTGTGTTTTATGCTACTCAGATGAAGAGACTGTTTTCAACTTATTCTTCTCTTGTAAGACAGCACAAACCATTTGGAAATTCTACTCCTCTCTTTTCAAGCAAAGAGTGTTTCAGCCAAGCTCTACAGCAGAAATCTTTTCTTCTTGGCCAAGATTTGAAGGAAGTAGGAAAGCAAGGATAGTTTGGAGCTGCATCCCCTTTGGTGTGTGTTGTCTCCTGTGGAATGAAAGAAATAGAAGGCTCTTCGAAGAAAAACTAAAAGAATTAAAACTCTGGGGGCTCTGGTGGGAAAGTTAGTAGCGGACTGGGTTTGGGTGCTCCCAGATTTTGATCAAGCTAGCAGATCAGATTTTGGGGAGAATTTTTGGAGCGTGTTGGAAATTCAAAATGTGTAATTAGTTTCAGTTTCTGGTTCAGCTAATGTATTCTAGACCAGAGCAGAGTTTCTTTTTGCTTTGTACTTCTAGGTGCCATCTTGTCACCTATCGGATTTGGATTATAACTGTTTTATTTTTCTGACTAATGAATTTTCTTATTATTCTTCAAAAAAAAAAAAAAGAAAAAGAAAACAAAGCTTCTGCAACTGATGCCGGTACCTTAAGCAAAGACAAGTAATAAATTGGAAGATCACTCTTGATTAGGGTAATCTTTCCTCCCAACAAGTATTTCTCTTTCCAACTTGCCAATCTTAGATCAATTCTGTCTAAGATAGGCTGCCAACTATAATGTGATAAGGACCTTGCTCCAATTGGAAGTCCCAAATATGTGAAAGGGAGCTCCCCCACCAAACATCCCATGGCTCTTGCACAGGCCTCCAACTCTGAATGTGGATTTTCACCCGCCTAATCATCACACTCTTTTAATCAGATTTATTTTCTGCCCTGCCACCATTCCATAACATTTCAAGACTGCTCTTAATCTTAGGACTTAGTCAACAACAATATCGGAATATCCAAAAAATCAAAGCATCATCCACAAATTGCAGGTGTGAAATCATCATCTCCCCCATTTCCTACTGTAAAGCCTCCAAATAGCCCCTTTCCGCCCCTCTTACTAACATTCTACTCATCACTTCTGTCGCCAAGACAAAAAGTATTGGAGAAAGTGGATCATCTTGTCTAATGCCTCTTGAAGCTTGGAAAAATTTTGTGGATACCCCATTAACCAACATGAGAAGGAAGTTGAAGAAATACAAGCAAAAATCCATCTCCTCCATTTCTCCCCAAACCCCATTATATCAAGAACCTTTTCCGAAAAACCCCAGTCCACATGATCATATGCCTTCTCAATACCCAACTTGCATATCAATATGCCTTTCCACTTCTAATTCATGCATCTGTGATTCTATACATTCACTTTCAAATGACTCCATCCAAAATTTGTCTCCCTCCACCAAAGCCATTTGAGTATGACCTACGGCTTCATACAATACCATTTTCAGCCTTCTTGACAGTACTTTTGCAATGATCTTATATGGGCTGGTAATTAGGCTTATTGTCATGATGCCTTCCACCCTATAAGTATCCTCCATCTCAGGAGTTAGGAATAATCGAGATAAAGTGGCATTTGCACTCTTCTCAATTATCTTATCAATCCGCAAGTCCTTAAACCTCTCCACGATATCTTTTTCAGCAATTCCCCAACAAGACTTAAAGAAAGAAATATTGAAACCACCTGGCCCTGGAGCATTGTCTCCCTTCACCTTATTTGCTACCCAAACTTTCTCTTCAAATTCCCTTTCCAACCATGATTTTTGAACCTCTCCAATTTTTCCCTTCCACAAATCACCAAGGAAGCAATTTCTAATTGAGAATAATTTGATATAGAAGCCCTTGATAGTTTCAATGATTTCTTCCTAATCTCCACCACCCTTTCTTCCTCTTCTAACCTAAATATGTAGTTTCTTCTTTTTCTCCCTCTTGCCATTATATGGAAAAAAAGTTATATTATTTATCCCCTTCCTTTAACCATAATCCCTTGATTTTTGTCTCCACATCACTTCCCCAAAGTGAACTTTTTTTTCCTTTTTTTTTTCAAAATATTCCTTTCTCTCCTCCCTTCATTAGACAATGCATCCTCTTTGATAGGAGTCAGACTAGCCAACATCCCCAAGTCCATGACACTCAGGCCTAGAAGATCTAGGGAGCACAGATTCAGCCCATGAAGCCACCAGTTCGATTTGTCTATATCAGAAAGCCACGTAAAGGGCACTAGTGCGGGTGTAAGGCAGTGGTGGTCTTGGTTCTAAAGTTGAGAAGAAGATGAGAAGGGGAGATTAGGGTTCAGTTAGGGAAGCTTGGGGAGAGAAAGGATGATCAGATGAAC